ATTTTATTTTAATAGACCCGGGTGGAGAAGAATGAAATCCTCCACCTGGATACCTGTTTTAGCTCCCCTGACACCGGCCATGTGCAAGCTGTGTCTGCCACCTGGCGCCCCCTGGTCCATGGTGTCCTGTGCGGCCACACAGCTCGCACACCCCTAAGGCATGCTTCTGACAAGTGGCTCCGTAATGTAAAATTCACCAATCACAATGCAGAACAAACTATAAAACAATCCAAATATCTTCATTGGCAATATGAGCTTTAAAAAAGAAGTGTGTTTTAATTGCAACCCAATACGTGAAGGCCATGTAACCCTCCAGCTGAAATATACTGTAATAGTTAAAAGATGTTCTTTATGACATGACCATGATGAAAACTCTGTAGCAGTCTACAATAGTTACTGGCAATAGTTATAGAAAGGACTAATAACAGCTTAATTCCTTGAATTTTACAGATTGGGCATATTGAGAGTGAACCGACACGAAGAGGAGCATTTCCTGTGTCGTTTGTGCACTTTTTTACAGAATAACCACTAGCAAACCTCCCTCCATCATTCTCTCCACGGGACATCTAGCCAAACAGAAGACCTCTGCAGAGATGTAATGGTAACGGGATACGCAAACCACCAAATCAATGCCACAAATGTCAGTGAATCTACATTGTAGCTACAACCACTCCTTTTTCTACCAATGGGAAAGAAAGACATAAGACTCATAATGTTTTATTAGGACAACAGTATAACTTGTATATTTATTTTTCTTCAAAGGAAGATTCTTACCAATCAGATGTAGATATTCATGTTGAACACTAGAGATCTTTCCAGCCTTCTAATACACCAAGGATTTTTGTACCACGCTGGCTTTATATGACCAATGGTTTATTAATGGTGTCCTATTCTATGTTAGCTGGAGACAGGGGTACATTGCAGGGCAATGTACTGCTCACTCTCCCTCAGTTTAGCGGGGTCTATTACCTTTTGGGACATACTATTGTTTGTTTGTTTGTTTGTTTTCTGGTTAGTAAATTAACGCTACATTTTTATATAGAGCTAATCATTCCAATCTTTTGTGATCTTCTAATAAATAACCAGATGAATGGAAATAAAGCTGTGTGTCTTGACTCACCTTTAGTTTGTACAGTGAAATTGAGAGACTGCGAGGCCTCCTGGGATTGACATAAGAGAATGGACAGTTGTCCATTTGCACTTTAATATTCAGAAGTCTGAATAGACTACAATAGGCAAGTCTCATGCTGATGTGGTCATGGACTAAATGCAGGAACTTATTGACTACTAATAATACAATTATACATTTATCATAGTAGATCGAATCTGTGACTTGGGGAATATAAATAGATATGGTAAATGGGTTCCAGAAGTATCTCCAATTCTTATTGTTCTTATGTGACATAGACAAAACAGATTGCCCTCTAGTCTTCCTGTTAGCCCTAGATGAATTTGTTCTTCATGATCACATTATGCATTAAGTTTTCCCTGTCCGGCCCAGTGTTGCATGCTACAAGGGAGCACAAGATCTATGCCGTGTCTGGTGGGTCAAACCACCAACCCTGATGACATCACATCCTCGTTGATACTCTCACCTGTGTAGGTATCTTGTATTTATTTCCAGCAGATATTATACAAACCAGAAGATCACATTCTACTCTATTTCCAATAAATGGTCTTGCATTTGAAGTGTTATTACAGTAAGTTGCATTTATTGGAGATTCACATTCAGCCTGGGTGTTTATTATGGACATTTCTCTCTCCAACAGTATCTGTGAGATTTTTTTTTTTTTTTTTTGTTGACTAGTTTATTATGGACATTTCTCTCTCCAACAGTATCTGTGAGATTTTTTTTTTTTTTTTTTTTGACTAGCCTTATTGGAGTCTTTGGTTTATATTTTATTGGGCATTGTGACCTTTATTGATTTGGAGTAATAAAGGTCCTGGCTAGTGACTCATGATATACCACAAAATCAGCATGAGGTCATTCCATGTTATTAGATCAGTGTCCCGCAGGCTCGGAAAGACACATTCCCAATTTTGTCACTTTTTAGGTAAGACAGATATGTTGTAGTCATGCCAAGACAATAATTTCACATTTAGTTTGCTTGATGGCCAGCTGCTGAATATTGAAAGGGAATACATAAGAGAGTGAAAACTCATTCTGTGTATGGAGCGGATTCCTCATGTGGAAAATGAAGTCTGTACAAAACCTGGTGGGTTTTCACGCCACTCTATCAATGATTATAGCAGTTCCGACTAAAGTGAAGGTCACTTGCAGTATTCCAATCTTGAGTGTGTATTTGATTGGAGAGTTAAACTATATAGTTGGACTGTATATGCCCATGTTCCAGTTGGCAAAGGTGAATTATCAATTTTCTCATGTTCAGCTACGTGTTGTTGGCTTGTAGAGGAACCCCAGACCAAAGGCAGCGACTGTTTCTGTTTAGAGGATCTTTGAATGAATAGAGATCTAGACATCTGTATTTTATACTCCTTCCCCCTATATTGGGGAGATATACAACATATGGTCTCAACTAATGATATTTTCAGCATTTTCTTTAAAAAATACTTTTGTTTTTTCACATGGATTAGGTCAACATAACATGACGGGATCACATTATTAAAGGTAGTAGTTTGATCTATATTTTATGTTGGCAGGCATATAAATTAGTAGGTATTCAGTTAGATCTAAAATATATTGGTATATACATTATTGGTGATGTCAGAGCTGACCTAAACGGTTGCGTCCTTCTAGGTTCTGCGAGTGCTTGCGCCTTACTGTATACCTTCCTGTAATTTATTTTTTTTCTGGACACAAAAACAAAGCTTTCTGGGACAGTTCACAGGGTGATGCTGTCTAAGGTGTAGGCACACACTGAATTTACATGCACTGAACATTACAATCAGCCGTCTGTGTAACTAAACAGGGTGAGTACTTTTTTTTTTTTTTTTATGACAGAATTTAACAACTGATATATATAAATATATATTATAGATGCTTTTGATTTCCTGTTCTAAGAAGCCCACATTCAATGGTAGCTGAAAACTCTGATACACCAATTAGAATATACCAATCAGTGTGAATCTTGCCTATAGTCTCTTAATTTCAGAACCATTGTTGACAATGAAAGGAAAATCGGTCCACTAACATAATGTTTACATAAGTGTGATGTTGACTATACATATGTATGTATGTATATGCACGCTGTATGAGCCATTTCGATTTAGCCAGGTGTGTGTATTGCCGCATTCTGAAACCAAGGAACTGATATTTTTTTAATAAGGAGGATTCAAGTGTAATAGGCCAAAATAAAGACCAATATTTACATAGCCAATTCAAAAAGTGCTTGCTTTCTCGTAGTTTAAATCAGATATTTCTGTCACATATGCAGTTCAACATTTATTGCACCTGATCACCAAGGATAGACCATTTATATTCCATTCTTTAAATATATTAATTGACCGCCATTTAAAGCGCTCAAGGCCACTGCAAGGACATAATTAATGACTATATCCTACAATTAACCACTAAGTCTAGGACTGGCAGAATAGCCAGTATGTTGCAAACAGCAGCCCTCAATTTACAGTTGTTAATTCTGTTTAACAAGATTGTTTTGTTCACCTGTGATGCTTTGATTGTAGTTCTGTTTTCCCTCTTTGGATTGGAGTTGTAAAGGCATTTCTTTTTAGAACACAAAAACTGTGACCGTGAAACACTGTATGCTATGAAGTTTGTTACATACTTGTTAATGCCACGAGTAGCCTGTGTTTGTAAAGGATGGCACGCCATAAATGTTGCATATAAGGAGATTTATCACTGGAATAAGTTACACTCCTGCAATGACTGGGTAATACAATACTCATGTATGTTATCAGACGTGTTTATTTTGTACTTACTGGGACCAAACCTGTGTATATTGAATTTTCTAGTGATTTAGAGAGTTTAATTATGTATTTTAACTGTTAAAAAATAAAGAAGGGATTTTTTTTTGCTTTAAATCCTGCTCAGTGAAATGGTGTTTTTATTCCTAGTTTATTATACATTTTCCAGAAACACAAGTAGTGGTGGCACTGTAATGACATCAAACACTATACCATGGGAATGGGGTTTTCAGGTACAATTGTCCAAAGAGATGGATTAAAAACAACAAAGTGACAATACGCAGTGTAACATACCATAAAAATCATAAACACAACACACTTAGTGTAGCAGTACAGATCAAATCACTATGACAGACTATTTATTGCACTTACAGACATGAATGCCTTTTCAGTGGCAAAAGAGGCTCAAAGTTAATTGGCTGAAATTCTGCTCCATGGCTGAAATCCAGTCCAGGAACAGATGCTGAAGTGTTGTAGCTGCAATCTATGCTTAATCGGTACTAACCTGAAAAGTCATTGTAAAGTGCAAAAGTATATTGTGCCAGTCCATGTGATAAAATCCAAATCAGTGGAAATAAGCATCTCCAACCGGTTTTGTTAAACACTAAAAAAATACAGCTAAGAGTCTGGTTGGTGTTTCCACCTTCCCAACACTTAGTATGAGGGCAGCGCTGTGTAAGTGTTCACAGAAGAAAAGATAACATACAAAACATACACTTAAGCTTCGGAATATCTGGGGGTTGCATATGAAAAACAACCCAGGTTCTTTGGACAATTGGGCATTTTACACAACGAAACTTATAAAATCGTATCTATTTCAGCCATTACAATTGTGGTTTTAAATTTTGTAATTGTTACGAATGGTCTGATAATTAAGACAACTAACTGCAAGCTTCAAAATAATTATTGAGCGAATTTTAACACAACTGTTCCCAACTGCTTTCTTTCCAAGCTTTGTCTATGTGGGATCACCTCCTCCCCTGGAAAGAATTTGGCTGTTCTGCAAACTAAAAACTACAATTTATTCTATATATTTTCCGATGAATGTGTACAAAAAGCGAATGACCAGGTTATAAAAATCCAGCACTTTATTCAACAAAATCCAGCTGAATGAGATTTACAATAATTTAGCAATACATAGAATTATATGATGAGAGGTAAAAGGAAATCTGATTCCGTTTTACATTTATAAATATATATCAATTATATAAGTATAAATATTGAAAAAGTACCATTGGTAACATATGGCAAAAAATGACCCCCAATGCTTCACTAAGGACAGATATGTTTATATTAAATAATGCTACTGCTTGTACGTTGTGAGGATTTGAGCTTCGGACATTGTGGTAATTCTTTCCGAGTAATTATACCCGTGTGAAGGACCATGGGTATTGGATCTGGCCAATCACCAAGTTCACACTGGTTAAGAAATGTACCTTTAAGGCTGACCAAACCCGGTATTCAGACTCATAACAGTACAGGTGTAACTATTATTTCTTTACACAATCACAATCCGGTCCGAAAAGATTTTCTATCAATAAGGAATATCCTACTTTTTTGGCAGCACCATACAACAAGGATGTCCCAAAATGAGCAGCTTATTCTAGATTGGGGAAAAGCCTTTTAGAGACCAGACTAGTGTGATGACATCGACCTTGGCTCAAATAGCCAATGACTGTAGCTAGACGAGAATGTAATATTGAGGAACCAAATGCATCATAGATAAAAAGAATTACATTATATAGGATTCTAAAGCCCCTATAGCACAGTATATGAAACATGCACGTAATAAAATATCAGCATCAAGTAACAGTGCTTAAAAATAAGGTTCATTGGTTCAAACAATAAAACTATATGAACGCTTAGTAAATTGTAATATCTGGTTTTACAGTACCTGTCAAAATACAAAAAATATATAACTTAATTTATGTCATCAAGAGAGGTTTGGAGGAACAAAACAATGCAGCTATGGCCATTTCAACTAACCAGCACTTAGAAATGTATATTACAGAAATCCTGTGCAGAGGCATTATTAGAAATGCTGAAGTGATAATTTCAGCTACAATTATTAAAGGTCTACTTCAGCTCACTGAAGTGGTCTGGGTGACAGGTCCCCCTAGTTTTAACCCTGCAGCTGAAAACATACCACTTTCAGAGAGGTCACCAGTGCCGAGGGAGCCCGGTGCTGGATTAAGGAAAGCAAATAAATGGTTGATTTACCATTTATTCGCCCCGGAACAGGGCCCTAGTCACCTCTAGGTGACAAATATATGTATTCCTGACGCTATAGTGTTCCTTTACGGATAAAACTATGCATATAAGAGATATATACACATATACACACAATGAAATACAAGGATGCACAGAAGTATTTGTCCACCGATGCTATCTGTGTCCAATATATTTGGTCAGTTGTTCCCAATCCAGTCCTCAATGCACAGCAACAGTCCAGGATTTAGGAAACAGATTCTGCATGGTTAGGTCCAATAAAGGTAAACGGCTTGCGATCGTTTGATCGCCCCTTTGCTAAGGCACTTCTGAGGATATTGTTGCACAGAGACGTCTATTCCATAGGAGCTCTTGCTTTCTCAGATAACACTGCATCAAATGCCGTGGACAGGACCTTGCAGATGGCCTGTGCCTGATCCTACATCAAAGAAAGGGTTAATTGAAGGGTGTACCATGACCAAAACTACAATTTGTTACTCAATTTCTATACAAGTATATGCTGTGAAATTACATTTCTAAAAAAAAATTGCATAAAAATATGAAACGTTGAATTAAGATGTGTTGTATATAATCCTTATGAGGTATTGTAATTTTGCGGAATGCATAGAATAATTCACACCTTTAGAAGAAATTGTACATTGAAATATTTTCTGAATAATATGGAAAGTTAATGCAAAATGTTTCCTAGGCATTCTTTGCTGCTACATCCATCTCTCTTCTCCATTTCCATACTCTTTCATATCTTAAGTCAAAACACAATTATGCAACAAATTGATGTTCAGGCAAACATTTGAACAATATTAATTTTAAGGTATTCATTCGACCTTTATAAAAACACTGGAGAGTTGAGCGTCCGTTTGTCTGGTTACAATTACGTGTCTGTTAGTCCATCCATTGTACAGCGCTACGGAATTTGCTGGCGCTATATAAATAATATAATAATAATAATAACTGTTGTCCCTTAGGAAAAATTATAAAGAATTCAATTACTAAAGCATCATGGACCACTATTAAAAACATAAGGAAAAAATTTAATTTAACTAATGGATTGGCTTTTTTCTCACTCGAGACTCCCTCCAAAGCATCGCCCACATAGCACGAAGACCGCACGCCGCCGGCCCTCCATAGCGCCCGAAGAAGAGAAGACACGGTCTCATTGAGCTCCCGAGTCTGTGGGGAGAAGATGCCGACCGGTTACAAGGCCTGGACCTGGGATGAGGCCTCAACTTGCTCGCGCTGCCCAGGCGGACCCCCCAAAACTCACCACCACACTACCAAACATGGACGGTTCGACAACAGGTGGCCAAGCATCAAAGTTGCGGATTACAGGAATCGGATTATCATGGGCCTACACTTATATCCTGAGAACTACTCAGAGGGCGACAGCAGCTGCACACCCACATATCATGGACATATTGTTTAAGTTTTCACTTCACGTTAAATGACTTAGCTAACATGCCCTCTACTATTTTTAAACCTGCATACTAATCTTTATAGTCACTTACCACCCAATAATCCGGGGTGCCAACATTTTGTATAACCTGCTCAGCTCGGCTGCACACTCTTTTGGCCTCCACTGGCATAACCAGAGGCATTGATGGTGCGGTGGAGGCGAGGTGGTTTAATCAGCATGACAAAACCTTCAACTTATAGTGTTAATCGATTTGTATAAGCTTATGCCTAACCTTTTGCATCTTGCGATATTTGTTATACCTAGCTTGGATACTGAGCATCCTCCTGTTAAAGTGGCAGATTCGCCAAGGAGCTACTCACGTTTAATGATATCATACTCTACTTTTGTCTAGCCACGTTAATCATTATTAAGTTATGCTTGTTATTAATATTCTGGAAAGCTTAATTAATATAAAATGAGGCTGTCACTCACAGGAGATGTTAAAATGTGTTATCATATCCCTATCCTGTATGAAAAACGTACGTCTCCCCTTCTTCATTCTGCCTCAATAAAACAAAGATTGACCAAAAAAATTACTTTGATACAAAACAAGTTATTGAACATAACGACACTACTGACTTTTTAGATAATCACAACCCTTTGAAGAGAATATCTCGCTCACTCAAGTTTCTGTGCATTTCTGAAACTTATTAAATAATCTACGATAATAAAATGGGAACTGGATCGTAAAAAAATCATTTGATATTCAATCCTGGAAACAGAGTTTAAAGAGGGTTAAACAAATTACACATTGTGTGAACTTGATCGAGCTTTATTATAAAGTACTATATAGGTGGTATATGGTTCCTACAAAATTACAGATTTCCGACCAATGTTGGAGATACAATAATGCTAAAGGATCTCATTTCTACATTTCGTTGCAACGCTCAGGACTAGATACTTTAAAAGCAAACTTCAGAAGACTTTTGATAGACATTTGGGAAAAAGAGATTCCTTTGACCCCACATCTCTTTCTTTTCCATTTAGACCTCCAATGCGAGAAATCTATGTCTTATTTAATGATTCATATTTTGTTGACAATTAAATGTGTCTAGTGAGAATTTGGAATGAGATAAAAAAAAAAAAAATCACATCAACTATCACTGCTCAATGGAGAAAGGATATCACTTAATGAACATTCGAGGGAGTCCATTTTAATTTTTTTGGGACAAATGTCAAACATCTTCTTTTGCTAATGGAGTTGTCTATCCGTAAAAAGATTACTATAATGGGAAGTAAGCAATAAAGAATAGGGTATAGGACATAATCCTCCTCCCCCCGCGACTGTATAAATGAAGTATGTAGCAGTATGAATGTTATTAGGAATGTTTGTAGTTAAGATTATAAATTATAGAAATGGTGTATTTTTATTATTAATCTAAAAATTAATAATGTAAATGTTATTCTTGTAATTTTGTAACAAAAGAAACACTGGAGGAGAAACGCTTTAGACAATGTATAGTAGCCTTCATCGTGCAATCTTTCATAATGGGCCTGAAATGTTAGTATAAAAGCAAATATAAAATATTTCTCATGTTTGGTAGGTGTAATAAAAATAGATAAATAAAAATGGTCAAATAGCTTTCTTGCAGGTACTTGTAAGGATCCTTGAAGACATTACTAGTCTGCATTTCAGTGCAATGCCCACATACAGTAAGTATAGTCAAATGACTGTAGGAATACTATGACATTTTAAGTTTTCTTTACGGTTTTGAAGGAGAAAGGAGGCTGTCAATCTCTGGCAGAGTGCAAAAAAAATAATAAAGAAAATGTGTACACACAACAAGAGCATATGAGGTATATAGAGCTTGTAAATAGACTCACCACATTGTTACACTGATACACCCACAGACTGTATTGATCCTCAGTTGGATCTTTGGTCTTTAACGCCAACAAACTCCTTCCAGCCACCAGCCCATCGTCATAACACACCATGCTGACAATAAGATAAAGTGCATGTCTGTGCAAAACATCCTGAAATGGAAAATAATACATAGTAAGTGCTCATTTATTTTTAACATTGTATTTCTATTAATCAAATACATTTATAAATACTTGGAAAGCAAGTTTGGTGGAGTAACTAGAGTTTCTGAGCTTTCAATATGATAACACAGGATCACAAGGGTTAAACCATCAAAGTTGGTTCTTAGAACAGTCCAATATTCATATGACACAAATAATCTAGGAGCTTAAAGGAACACGATAGTGTTAGGAATACAAAGCTGTATTCCTAACATTATAGTGTCCCTCTGTTCTGCGCATCCCCCAGCCATGTAAACGGTTAAAAAAAATCTTTAAATACTTATCAGGTTCCAGCATCGATGTGCCTCGGTGCTGGATCTGGCGACGTCAACGCAATCCAGGAAGCTAATATGCATTGCATGGTGAGCGCACTTTAGTCCTTCTCCTTAGGAAAGCAAGGACTCAATGCTTTCCTTTGGGGTTTTTCAACATACTGGACGTCCTCATGCAATGCATAAGGGCATCCAGCATCGTTTCACAGAGTCAAACACTATGAAACTGAAGAAAGCATCTCTCGTGGCTGTCTGATAAACATTCACTAATGGCAGCCTTAACTCTGCAATGTAAGCACTGCTGTTTCTCAATAATGGTAACGTTTTACATTGCATGGTTAAAGGAACAGGGATACTGCACCCAGACAACTTCAATGAGATGAAGTGGTCTGGGTGCTTATAGTGTCCCTTTAACCCCTTAAGGACCAAACTTCTGGAATAAAAGAGAATCATGACATAGCACATGTCATGTGCCCTTAAGGGGTTAAGGAGGTACAGTCAGTGGTATGACTACAGTGAGTTAAATATGGCATGCATAGTATTTTGTTGAGTATACTCGTACATTAGGATTGATATGCTTTTTTTGTTTTTATTACTGCTTATTCATTTTATTTACTAGAAGACAATATAGGAAATAAGGCAAAACTACCCCCAAAAAAGGTTAAATATGAAACAATGTAAAGTGTAAAATATACAACAAACAGTAAGAAAAAGAAACAAAATAGAAGGGATTATGGCAACTATAAAGAATAGTGTTGTGCCACTGTATTTGGATGTCCGTACCAACGTTCTGCAGATGGATGAATGCTAAAAGGTCGGGGACTGAAGAAAAGGACTACGAAGTGCAGAATTAGTCCAGACCATTTACCTCCGAGATTACCTTTTTCTAGGGGATTTTTAGGACAAAAAGGGGAGATCAGGATATCTCTAAAACGAGTTTGGAAAAAAGAAGGGATTCTAATTGGTCTTCAATTAAAAGGAAAAGACAAACAGAAGAAGACCAGATCGACAAAGACGAGATCCTGGAGACGAAGAGAATATAATGGGTTTTTTAAATGTATCTGATCGTGATATTAGCAAAGATGAAATACATCTTATGAATAAGGGTGATACAGCCCGAAACACACAAGGCACTTTTTTTCCATTTGATCCATGATGTGTTACTTTTTAGGTAATGCAAAAAGATTATTAATTTTCTTACTGGGTTTTCTTTGTTAGAGGATTACTACAAACTAACTAATTTATTCAACCTTCTCAAACGAACTAATATATTCAACAAGTGTTGCAGTATTATGTTTAGTTTTACATCATGTAATATGGTGAACGGATATTCAAGGTTGTTTACTAAATTCCAGATTGTAGTTAATGAAAATCCAAATGGCATAGTTTAGATTGAAAAAGTAAAGCTACAGAGGGGTTCAATATTTTCTCAATGTTCGCTAATTTAGCCTAGATTATGCCACTTGGATTTTCGTTGGCTACAGTTTGAAGTTTAGTGAATAACCCTAATTAAAAGTAACACTAAAGTCACCAGTACCACCACAGCTTAATGTAGTTGTTCTAGTGTCTATAGCCTATCCCTGCAAGCTTTTTAATGTAAACACTGCCTTTTCTCTAACAAAAAGTAACACCTTTCGTGGAAGTCACTCAGATGACCATTAGAGATCCTTCCTGGGTCAGTGCTGTATAGTGTGCAGAACTGGCATTCAGCATCTCTGCTGAACATGCCTCATAAGAGGAGATGCTGACTGGGGCAGCGCTGCTATGGAAAAGCATTGGATTGGCTGAGATCATCAAGATTGATGATCTCAGCCATGGAGGCGGGGCCAGTCGCAGTGAGACCAGTGTGGCGTAGGAGAAGAGGTAGGTTTCAAATTTTTAATCTCCACGGAGAGGGCGGGGCACCTAAGCATTGATTTCAGCACTATAATGTCAGGAATACATATTTGTGTTCCAGACACTATAGTGTTCCTTTAATGTATGAGCGTTCCTGCATTGTGTAGGACAGTTTTGAGTGCATCCTGCTCTTTATTTATGAGAGTTACTTACATACTGATCTGATGTTACCACTTTGATCCCGTATTTTGAGACGACCATGTTAAATTCCTCCTCTGGAGGCACGTAAGGCAATTTCCCATCTTGCTACAATACAAAAGTTAAACAAAATTACATCATATTTACATTTAGAACAAATACAAAAGGCAGCATCTCCGTGGCACCCCACTAACTTGTCAAATCCAAGCCATACCCAATCTCTGTCCAGACCATGCAACGCTTTCACACCTGTAACACCTGTACTGTGATGGAAAATCAGCTTTAATCTACCATAATTCATTTACCATCATGGACAAATGTCTTGAACAGAATCTCAAAATCAAGTCCTGCTGACTCCTCTCCCCAAATTTAAAAGACTTGTAGGAAGAGGGAGAATCTTTTGTTTAATGTGAACATTCAAACATTAAAGCAGAATTTTAATTTCTCTAGTAACAGATCTGAATTCCCTCAACCCAGGGGTGTGTGGTGAGTTCAAGTAAACAAAATGCATCCCATAACAGCACAATAGTTCTGTGTCCAGAGAGACATCACCCTAAGACACTCCCGAAGTGGTTCATTCATGTTTGGGCATTCTTTCCAGAGGTCGTACACAGGTATGTGCCTACGCACACGACACAGTAGGGGTTAAAATAAATTGCATGGTATCCTTTAGCTGTGCCAGGACAGCCAGGAATACAATGCAAGTCAAAAATACATGCTGAATAAAAAAGGTGCAAACCATAGCCAACATTTAGGCCTTGAAATTAGCTTTTAAAATGATCACAATCTGTTAGTAAAACATTTCAAATGATTTAGCGACAAACATTCCCACGAACTTTAAGGTGCTGTTGTGGTTAGCCCTGCTGAGTTCTATGTTTTAAGACATTATAGTGGTAAACAAGAGAACCAGCCGCGGCTAAAATGCGGATAAATCATTTGTTAAGTTTTTATAACAAATTGTTATCATTAGAAAATCGCCCCAAGAGTACACAGACTACAGCCTTGACTAAACGTATTTGGGAGGCCCACAGAGCCACTCCATACAAACATTTTTAAATCAAGTTAGAATAAAAAAGTTCCATTATAATTCAAAAATAGTAGCACACATACACCAGAAACATTCAGCAGACGTATACAGATTTTACAGTTCCTCTTTAAAATGAAGCCATGGATTCACTATTGTTTGCACAACACATGTCTTTTCGTGCATTATTAATCAGTTACAAGACTGACTTCCAGAGATTCTAGACTTAACTCCATAGATGCACATCCCAACGATCCTCTTTACATAACATTCCACAGTAGTTGGGGTTACTGTCACACTGTCTGCGTGCCTAGTACCTGTGCTACATCGATATAATTGATCAGATCCAATGGTCCTTGCAGAGTTTTGCAGTCATTGGGCTTCAGTCGTTCAATAGACCCCACATATTTCACCTTAAACTCAGAACTTGCTTCAGAATTACCAGCACCTTGCCCTGCAAACATCAAACAGAAAAAGGGTTAAATTAACACATAGAACTGTTGTTAAATAAAATACAAAGTACATTTATAACACATGGGCAGCAGCCAGCGCTGGCTAATCATCCTCCTGTACCTCTCTTCTGCAATGACAATGCCTTGTCCTTTGCAGCTTGCTTTACTTGCATGTTGGTGATACTCCGATAATCTAGTATTAGCTCTGCACCGCACTCTGCTAGTGGTCTAGAAACGGATGGTTGCTTCCTGTGTTCTAGTCACATCATACAGTGAGATCAGCAAAGCTGACAGCAAGATCTTAAAGGCACAGTACACACAACAAAACAGGAACTTGGTATGGCCAATCTGGTGTGTTTACATTTATTTAGTTTTTATTCTAAAGGTGCTCTTATTTATTTATATCACATGAAAAATACACTAATCTGATAAATTAAATGAATACACCGATTCAAAAGGAAAAATAGTTGCTGCTTTTTTCAATAATAAAAAGAAAAATAATATTTTAGAAAGTTACACAGTATTTCTATTTTTTATTTCTAAAACAAACGTATCCTTGTTTATAAATCACTTTGAAACACGAAAGCCGTGTTTACGACAACAATATAAAACTTTGTGAAGATGCGAACACCTTGGAATATTTGGATCCTTTTAGAAGGTTCTCCCAGAAGTGATAGGTAATCCAATACTCCTGCCTGGATGTATAACAGATGTTGGATAATGTCTGGGAGAGGCCACACTGTATCTGTGAGATTGTTGGTTTCTCATGCACACATTGTGCTCCATAATTTCCAGTATTCAAGGGAGGAGGCATTTAGATACTGATCAGGGAAGTATGAGAAGGTCCTTACCAAAGCTTTTGGCAGAGTCTGTGTCTAGGCTAGCCACGGTGCTTGATCTTGAAAGTCCCCCAAGGCTGGAATCTACAGACTAAAATTAAATAAAACATGCAAAATGTCAACATAGGCAATACATGCTGTGCCCCCAATGCAACTGACAAAAATGACAGAGCGAGACCCATATTTAGTAACCACCATACTGACTGTTAACCATTGTACACAGCCACAGAGAACTCACAGTCTGAAAAGATCCCATTTGGGTCTCGCTGCATGGCTCCCTGATGATAACCAGTGAAGTGCTGTGCACAGTATAGAGCACTCACAATGGGAATCTCTCTGTGTTAGAATTAGGTTTACGTTTTGATTTAGTGTTAGAGAGAGGTCTGGTTTGTAGCGTTGAAGTAGAGCTCAGTGGTTAGTGTAGGGTTAGCCAGTGTGAACGTTAGATAATTTTGGTGTTAGCTATAGTTAGGGTTAGGTTTCCTTCCTAAATTCAGCTAATCTTAGGAATTGTGTCAAAGTGTGATGCTGCTCAGTATAGTCAACAAAGAAATCAATATGGTCCAGACACTCCAGAACCATATTTGCATTTCTTGGTCCAATAAAACTGCTTGAAGATAGACCTGGAGTGCCTGAACCATATTTAATTCTTCAATGACTATACTGGGTTTGCCAGCCCCAGGTCTGAAGCACCTAGGTCTGTATGTAACAGTGCGGCATCATTTATTTTTACGCTGATCAGTATAGTGACTCAAATGGTGTCACTAAACTAAATAGCATCTCTGGGAAGCAAGCAAAGAGTAAGGTCAAAATGAAGGCATGTCAGTTATCTGACTCTACAAGTCCCTGACATACCTGACAAAGATATAAATGTGGGTTACTGTAAAATATGGGGTCTTTAGAATAATGGGACACAATCTGTGACATTCCCCATGAAAATGAAACATGTGAAAACACACCAAAAAATTTATATAATTTAAAGCTGTGGCTGAGGTTGATGATAAAAACTTTTAAAATGTAGAATTCAGTTTAAAAACTATGAATAAAAGATGTAAGTGTAAATGTAGAAAATATCAAGGAAGATACATTTGTTATCACATATATATGCCAGAGCAAAGGATAGCTCACTCATTTTCCGTGAGCATGAAATGAAAATAGCCACTCGTTTTATTCAACAGAGTGCGCTATTTACTAACCAGCTCTTTTTTGCATCTGCCAACTGATTTATTGCTACAAAATGGAGCCGCGGCCTCAGGATACAAACCTTACTCTTTGTGCTTATTTCACTGCTCTGGGAGCTGCTGCTGCTGTGCCTTTTTTTCCCCTTCCGGAACATTCTTTAGCGGGCTTCCATCCAGAGCGCCTGAGGAGAGGACATGTAACAATTTACTCAATTTTGGGGAAACTACAAATATCACCAAGACCTACAATAGCACCAGCCATGAAATATCAGACATGAAAAGGACAAACAAACTACCACAACTGATCCAAGTTCCTGTATTGATTATTACCAGCAATACTTACTCCATGACCAAATCAATATATGTAAAATGCATTGGAATCCATGCTGAAATAGAAAGGTTTATTCCCCAATAAAAGGGGTAAAACGGTCAACCAGCATTCCAAATGCCAGCGGGTACCCGATCCTGATACCAGTATAGGACTTACGGACATGTTGTACCTATTGACATCATAAGCAATATTATAAACAGCTCACATATATGCTTCAAAGGGAGCACCTCCTCATTAGAGACCCATCTCTGTGCCCCCTGTATACTATCAGGAAATGTCCAAAGCTTGATACAATTTAGTGCCCTTGAGACTAGCACAGACAACAAGCCTATACAAGCCTGTTTTTTTTTTTATCTTCCACAGCTCCCAATCCTTTAAACCACTGCTTCACAAACCAGTCCTCATGGCCCACCAACAATCCGATATTTATATATGTCCCTGTTATATTCCAATGGAGATACTGATAAAACCTGGACTGTTGGGGACTGGTTTGGGAAAGGCTACTTTAACTGTAGTCATCACCTTCCAGGCTTATGTATAACCCATGTCAGAAATTCTATAATCTGACAAAGGTGAAAAAATAATTGTAACATTGTAAAAGGCACAGACATTCTGTGTTTCAGACCCACAGACAGCAAAAGATGAAAAGTTGTAGATAAAAGTAAATCCTCATCTTTTGGGTGAAAATTATCTGGCAATAATCTTTATAAATAATACTAGGGAGTGGATATATTACAGGATACGTTGAGGGCTGTGTGTAGGAATGGTGATATTATAGAATACATTGAGGGCTGTGTGTAGGAATGGTAATATTATAGAATACATTGAGGGCTGTGTGTAGGAATGGTGATATTATAGAATACATTGAGGGCTGTGTGTAGGAATGGTAATATTATAGAATACATTGAGGGCTGTGTGTAGGAATGGTAATATTATAGAATACATTGAGGGCTGTGTGTAGGAATGGTAATATTATAGAATACATTGAGGGCTGTGTGTAGGAATGGTAATATTATAGAATACATTGAGGGCTGTGTGTAGGAATGGTAATATTATAGAATACATTGAGGGCTGTGTGTAGGAATGGTGATATTATAGAATACATTAAAGGGGTGTGTGTAGGAATGGTAATATTATAGAATACATTGAGGGCTGTGTGTAGGAATGGTAATATTATAGAATACATTGAGGGCTGTGTGTAGGAATGGTAATATTATAGAATACATTGAGGGCTGTGTGTAGGAATGGTAATATTATAGAATACATTGAGGGCTGTGTGTAGGAATGGTAATATTATAGAATACATTGAGGGCTGTGTGTAGGAATGGTAATATTATAGAATACATTGAGGGCTGTATGTAGGAATGGTAATATTATAGAATACATTGAGGGCTGTGTGTAGGAATGGTAATATTATAGAATACATTGAGGGCTGTGTGTAGGAATGGTAATATTATAGAATACATTGAGGGCTGTGTGTAGGAATGGTAATATTATAGAATACATTGAGGGCTGCGTGTAGGAATGGTAATATTATAGAATACATTGAGGGCTGTGTGTAGGAATGGATTGAGGGCTGTGTGTAGGAATGGATATTATAGAATACATTGAGGGCTGTATGTAGGAATGGTAATATTATAGAATACATTGAGGGCTGTGTGTAGGAATGGTAATATTATAGAATACATTGAGGGCTGTGTGTAGGGAATGGGGAATGGTAATATTATAGAATACATTGAGGGCTGTGTGTAGGAATGGTGATATTATAGAATACATTGAGGGCTGTGTGTAGGAATGGTAATATTATAGAATACATTGAGGGCTGTGTGTAGGAATGGTAATATTATAGAATACATTGAGGGCTGTGTGTAGGAATGGTAATAGTATAGAATACATTGAGGGCTGTGTGTAGGAATGGTAATACTATAGAATACATTGAGGGCTGTGTGTAGGGAATGGTAATATTATAGAATACAATTGAGGGCTGTGTGTAGAATGGTATTATAGAATACATCGAGGGCTGTGTGTAGAATGGTGGGATATTATAGAATACATTGATGGGCTGTATGTGGTGGACTGGTACGTGATATAGAATACATTGAGGGCTATGTGTGGTGGAATGGTGGCTTACGAGTAGAATACATTGAGGGGCTGTGTGGTAGGAAATGGTACAATATTATAGAATACATTGAGGCCAGTGTGGAATGGTAATATTATAGAATAAGCATTGAGGGCTGGGTGTAGGAATGGTAATATTATAGGAATACATTGAGTGGCTGTGTGTAGGAATGGTAATATTATAGAATACATTGAGGGCTGTGTGTAGGAATGGTAATATTATAGAATACATTGAGGGCTGTGTGTAGGAATGGTAATATTATAGAATACATTGAGGGCTGTGTGTAGGAATGGTAATATTATAGAATACATTGAGGGCTGTGTGTAGGAATGGTAATATTATAGAATACATTGAGGGCTGTGTGTAGGAATGGTAATATTATAGAATACATTGAGGGCTGTGTGTAGGAATGGTAATATTATAGAATACATTGAGGGCTGTGTGTAGGAATGGTAATATTATAGAATACATTGAGGGCTGTGTGTAGGAATGGTAATATTATAGAATACATTGAGGGCTGTGTGTAGGAATGGTAATATTATAGAATACATTGAGGGCTGTGTGTAGGAATGGTAATATTATAGAATACATTGAGGGCTGTGTGTAGGAATGGTAATATTATAGAATACATTGAGGGCTGTGTGTAGGAATGGTAATATTATAGAATACATTGAGGGCTGTGTGTAGGAATGGTAATATCATAGAATACATTGAGGGCTGTGTGTAGGAATGGTGATATTATAGAATACATTAAAGGGGTGTGTGTAGGAATGGTAATATTATAGAATACATTGAGGGCTGTGTGTAGGAATGGTAATATTATAGAATACATTGAGGGCTGTGTGTAGGAATGGTGATATTATAGAATACATTGAGGGCTGTGTGTAGGAATGGTGATATTATAGAATACATTGAGGGCTGTGTGTAGGAATGGTGATATTATAGAATACATTGAGGGCTGTGTGTAGGAATGGTAATATTATAGAATACATTGAGGGCTGTGTGTAGGAATGGTAATATTATAGAATACATTGAGGGCTGTGTCTGGGGTAAAGTTCTAAACATGTTGCCAGCAGCACATTATACTGGTTTCCATGGTGACTTCCAGTTTTAGAATGTTGTCCCATATGGATGGAATCAGCTTATCCCACACAGGGCATTTCTGGTCCTATTATAAAGGGAATATGGCAGGGAATTAACCCTTTATGTTGTGCTGATCTTATAATACACAGCTAATGAATCCTGGGCTCAGACTGTGAGTCTATGTGATGATATACCCAGGGTACAACAATACTAATAATAATAATAATAAGACCTTTTATTATAATGATGATGATGATGTCCCTGATATCCTACCCGCTATCTCTCTGCCGGTCTCGGTATGGCAAGCTGGTGAAATAGAGTGTCAGCTCCCGAGGTCAGGAAAAGAGCGGAACGGATATCACGAGCACAGGGCGGACCGGAAGTGGCGGCGGAGAGACGGAGAGGGACCAGGAGGAGGAAGTGTATCATTCAGCCCTGGAACACCGGAAGTGGAGTCCTGGTAATGGAGAGAGGGAGAAATTAAAATGTCTGTAAAGAGGAAAGCGGAGAATGCGATCCCAGCCGAGGAGAGCGACCAGCTGCTGATCAGACCCCTGTGAGTCCTCATTATATATCATAAAGATTAATATTTATTATATATACCCCCTGTGAGTCCCCATTATATATCATAAAGATTAATATTTATTATATACCCCCTGTGAGTCCCCATTATATATCATAAAGATTAATATTTATTATATACCCCCTGTGTGTCCTCATTATTTATCATAAAGATTAATATTTATTATATACCCCCTGTGAGTCCCCATTATATATCATAAAGATTAATATTTATTATATACCCCCTGTGAGTCCTCATTATATATCATAAAGATTAATATTTATTATATACCACCTGTGAGTCCTCATTATATATCATAAAGATTAATATTTATCATATATACCCCCTGTGTGTCCTCATTATTTATCATAAAGATTAATATTTATTATATACCACCTGTGAGTCCTCATTATATATCATAAAGATTAATATTTATTATATACCCCCTGTGTGTCCTCATTATATAGCATAAAGATTAATATTTATTATATATACCCCTGTGAGTCCTCATTATATATCATAAAGATTAATATTTATTATATACCCCCAGGCTGTGAATCCCCATTATATATCATAAAGATTAATATTTATTATATATACCCCTGTGAGTCCCCATTATATATCATAAAGATTAATATTTATTATATACCCCCAGGCTGTGAGTCCTCATTATATATCATAAAGATTAATATTTATTATATATACCCCTGTGAGTCCTCATTATATATCATAAAGATTAATATTTATTATATACCACCTGTGAGTCCTCATTATATATCATAAAGATTAATATTTATTATATACCCCCTGTGAGTCCTCATTATATATCATAAAGATTAATATTTATTATATACCCCCTGTGAGTCCTCATTATATATCATAAAGATTAAAATTTATTATATACCCCCTGTGAGTCCCCATTATATATCATAAAGATTAATATTTATTATATACCCCCTGTGAGTCCCCATTATATATCATAAAGATTAATATTTATTATATACCCCCAGGCTGTGAATCCCCATTATATATCATAAAGATTAATATTTATTATATATACCCCTGTGAGTCCCCATTATATATCATAAAGATTAATATTTATTATATACCCCCAGGCTGTGAGTCCTCATTATATATCATAAAGATTAATATTTATTATATATACCCCTGTGAGTCCTCATTATATATCATAAAGATTAATATTTATTATATACCCCTGTGAGTCCTCATTATATATCATAAAGATTAATATTTATTATATAACCCTTGTGAGTCCTCATTATATATCGTAAAGATTAATATTTATTATATATATACCCCCTGTGAGTCCTCATTATATATCATAAAGATTAATATTTATTATATACCACCTGTGAGTCCTCATTATATATCATAAAGATTAATATTTATTATATACCACCTGTGAGTCCTCATTATATATCATAAAGATTAATATTTATTATATACCCCCTGTGAGTCCTCATATATCATAAAGATTAATATTTATTATATACCACCTGTGAGTCCTCATTATATATCATAAAGATTAATATTTATCATATATACCCCCTGTGTGTCCTCATTATTTATCATAAAGATTAATATTTATTATATACCACCTGTGAGTCCTCATTATATATCATAAAGAGTAATATTTATTATATACCCCCTGTGTGTCCTCATTATATAGCATAAAGATTAATATTTATTATATATACCCCTGTGAGTCCTCATTATATATCATAAAGATTAATATTTATTATATACCCCCAGGCTGTGAGTCCCCATTATATATCATAAAGATTAATATTTATTATATACTCCCTGTGAGTCCCCATTATATATCATAAAGATTAATATTTATTATATACCCCCTGTGAGTCCTCATTATATATCATAAAGATTAATATGTATTATATATACCCCTGTGAGTCCCCATTATATATCATAAAGATTAATATTTATTATATACCCCCAGGCTGTGAATCCCCATTATATATCATAAAGATTAATATTTATTATATACCCCCAGGCTGTGAGTCCTCATTATATATCATAAAGATTAATATTTATTATATATACCCCGGTGAGTCCTCATTATATATCATAAAGATTAATATTTATTATATACCCCTGTGAGTCCTCATTATATATCATAAAGATTAATATTTATTATATAACCCTTGTGAGTCCTCATTATATATCGTAAAGATTAATATTTATTATATATATACCCCCTGTGAGTCCTCATTATATATCATAAAGATTAATATTTATTATATACCACCTGTGAGTCCTCATTATATATCATAAAGATTAATATTTATTATATATACCCCCTGTGAGTCTCTCATTATATATCATAAAGATTAATATTTATTATATACCCCTGTGAGTCCTCATTATATATCATAAAGATTAATATTTATTATATACCCAATCTTTGTGAGTCCTCATTATATATCATAAAGATTAATATTTATTATATATACCCCTGTGAGTCCTCATTATATATCATAAAGATTAATATTTATTATATACCCCTGTGAGTCCTCATTATATATCATAAAGATTAATATGTATTATATATACCCCCTGTGAGTCCCCATTATATATCATAAAGATTAATATTTATTATATACCCCAGGCTGTGAGTCTCATTATATATCATAAAGATTAATATTTATTATATACCCACCTGTGAGTCCTCATTATATATCATAAAGATTAATATTTATTATATACCCCCTGTGAGTCCTCATTATATATCATAAAGATTAATATTTATTATATACCCCCTGTGAGTCCTCATTATATATCATAAAGATTAATATTTATTATATACCACCTGTGAGTCCTCATTATATATCATAAAGATTAATATTTATTATATATATACCCCCTGTGAGTCTTCATTATATATCAAAAAGATTAATATTTATTATATACCCCCTGTGAGTCCTCATTATATATCATAAAGATTAATATTTATTATATACCACCTGTGAGTCCTCATTATATATCATAAAGATTAATATTTATTATATATACCCCTGTGAGTCCTCATTATATATCATAAAGATTAATATTTATTATATACCCCTTGTGAGTCCTCATTATATATCATAAAGATTAATATTTATTATACACCACCTGTGAGTCCTCATTAAATATCATAAAGATTAATATTTATTTTATATATACCCCCTGTGAGTCCTCATTATATATCATAAAGATTAATATTTATTATATACCCCCTGTGAGTCCTCATTATATATCATAAAGATTAATATTTATTATATACCCTCTGAGAGTCTTCATTATATATCGTAAAGATAAATATTTATTATATACCCTCTGAGAGTCCTCATTATATATCGTAAAGATAAATATTTATTATATACCCTCTGAGAGTCTTCATTATATATCGTAAAGATAAATATTTATTATATACCCTCTGAGAGTCCTCATTATATATCGTAAAGATAAATATTTATTATATACCCTCTGAGAGTCCTCATTATATATCGTAAAGATAAATATTTATTATATACCCCCTGTGAGTCCTCATTATATATCATAAAGATTAATGTTTATTATATACCCCCTGTGAGTCCTCATTATATATCATAAAGATTCATATTTATTATATACCCCCTGTGAGTCCTCATAATATATAATAAAGATTAATATTTATTATACATACCCCCTGTGAGTCCTCATTATTTATCATAAAGATTAATATTTATTATATACCCCCTGAGTCCTCATTATATATCATAAAGATGAATATTTATTATATATACCCCCTGTGAGTCCTCATTATTTGTATTTATTATATATACCCCTTGTGAGTCCTCATACAATTATACAGTTTATTATTAATCATATCGCTTATTATTCATCATATATATCCCCTGAATCCTCATTATTTATCATAAAGATTATTATTTATTAAATACTCTCGGAGAGTCCTCAGATTAATTATACAGCTTATTATATCATAAAGCTTAATATTTATTATATATACCACCTGAGAGTCCTCATACAATTATACAGTTTATTATTAATCATATAGCTTATTATGTATTATTAATCATATATACCCCCTGTGAGTCCTCATATATCTTATTATATGTCATATCTTATTATTTATCATATATAACACTTGTGATCCCTCATATTAATTATTTATCATATATACCCTCTGTGAGTCCTCATATTGTTTATTATATAGCTAATTTTCTCATATTAATTATTTTATAGTTTAATATTTATCATATATTCCCAGTGAGTCCTCATATCTTATATTTTATTATATAAACCCCATGCTTATAATTTCAGCAGCTCTCCCAAACAAGCACCCTACGCCACCCCCCTCACCTCATGCTCTAAATGATAATCTTTCTTTAATAACCTGCTAGGTATTTTTAACTGTACAAAGCATGTTATGTATAAAAAAGAATTTAAGGTCAGTGTTAAAAAAGCAAAGCCGTCTTAAAAGTGTCCATTTTTATAGACAAAACAATAGTCTAACAATGGAAAATTATAATTTTTCTTTCTTCTTTTTCAAATGATTTCGTATGACAGTTAACTTGCATTAATTAATAATTATCTCTTCTATGCAGGGGTGCTGGACAGGAAGTGGGACGATCATGTATTATTTTAGAATTCAAAGGAAGAAAGATAATGGTGAGTGCTTTCAAATAACTGAATTTTCAGTTGCCAAGCTGGGAGGAATTGTCTAAATCTCACATAACATACCTCAGTGTCCTCATATTGCTGGCTGTTATCCATATTATGTATATTGTGGACAGATACAGCCCAGAACGCACCTTGTTCCTCCCACCTGGCAACCAGTACCTTAATAGATAAGTGATGAATAGTAATCATTTCCAGCCATACTGGCGGTTGCTAATATTTGAAATAGAAAAATAGTAAAACAGTTGCTGTCACCGGCTACTGGTCGTTAGACATCACAATATTAATTTACATCATGCACCTTGGGCTTGATCTTATACAACCTACCAGCTGCTTAACTTAGGGTATGTATTTGTGGGTGCAATGCCTTTTTGTTGTTTCCTGATTGTTGGAAGGTGGGTAACTATGACAATACTGGTGTGCTGTGAGTCAAAGCCTGGAAATAAATCTTAAATATTAAGAATGGCAGCTAGGTTTTAAATCGGATTTGGCAAGCATTGATCCGAATCATAGTATTGATGCTACTCTGTTTAAAATTAAGGAAATGTTTGGTTGTCTGTGGCCACAACTATGAGTAGAGTGTTTAGTGCTTACAAAAATAGCAAATATTTTGTCAGAACAATTGTATCAGCAGATCAAACTCCTAACTTATCCAACAGACCTGAGAACCCATTTTCCTGAAGCTTAATAAAAGTATTATATTATTATTATTATTATTACCTCTTACTCTCCCACCCTCTTATCCCAGTGCCTCCTAAAACTACTTACTATAGTGTGTTTTCTTCCATATCTAGGCATCCTTTACAGCTTTCTATTCAGACCATGTAGATTCAGTATTTACTCCTTTTTTGTTTCCGATAACAAAGTCCATTTACAAGGTCATGCAGAATTTCGGAGCTGTACAAATGTGTTTAGAAGCAAATGTAAATGTGGTATTGAATTCTAAAGGGTACATCCATTGAATGCTTTATCAAATATACCATTTTGTGCTTTGTTAGGAAACATCCCAGGAGCTCGCTGTATAAACATTATCATTTTTCTTATGATATAGGATAGCTGAAACCAAAACAAGTCAAACTATATTAAGAAGTAAATATCAGGCTAGGCGGGTGATTTGCTCTGTACCGGCTTTCTGGTTCTGTTTACATGAACATTCTCTGATGCTGATGTATGTATATTAAGTGCGGTATACACTTTCTTATTATATTTATCTTTTCAGCTGGACTGTGGGATCCACCCTGGGTTAGAAGGGATGGATGCGCTCCCGTACATTGACTTGATTGACCCAGCAGAGATTGATTTACTTCTGATAAGTCAGTAAGTAATGTCCTCAGTTTCTTCAGGCAGTAACTATTCATTTTCTGCTATTACATAAAGTGTCAACAGCTGTTAGCAGACAAACCTAATCACAAAATAACAAGGGAGCATAATGTGAATTAATTTGTTTTAGTGAGAAAGATCCAAAATCTTCTCTAGAGCTGTTACATCGCTTTGTTCCTAGTGGTGGTTGGCTGTCGTTGGAAATGTCAGTGTATTCGGTAAAATATGAACAGTGTTCATTTAACAAACATACTATATTCCTTTTATTGAAAACTTGAGGAAAGGTTAGTAGATAACCGGGCATAGCCTTTTAGTGAATGTAATAAAGGTGAACGCACTAAAAGAATTGAATGTTGTTTCTTTGGGTTGTGTATGTATATAAAATCAGCGTGAGAATTCATACTGTGGCAATCTCTTAAGAGGAATTCCATAGTGGAAAAAGTGGATATATATTAACATCACCCCAAAACAAGCTTCCATGTAATGGAGCGAGCTATCTATCGGTGTAACACATTGCCAACCAAACCGCACATTGTTTGGCTTGAATAGTTCTGATGTTTTACCAAGCCTGTTGTTCATCTTAGCTTCCATTTGGATCACTGTGGTGCCCTGCCATGGTTCCTGCAGAAAACCAGCTTTAAGGGCCGGACGTTCATGACCCACGCCACCAAGGCTATTTACCGATGGCTGCTTTCAGATTATGTCAAAGTCAGGTGGGTGCATTTAGAAGTATTCTAGGCACATTGACCTTTTATATAGCTTTCATGGCAGATGATTTTTCTGGCTCTTAACTCGCCCCTTTTATTTTGTGTAGCAATATTTCAGCAGATGATATGCTGTATACGGAAACCGACCTGGAGGATAGTATGGACAAAATTGAGACCATTAACTTTCACGAGGTGAAAGAAGTGGCAGGAATCAAGTTTTGGTGTTACCACGCTGGGCACGTATTGGGTGCAGCCATGTTTATGATTGAGATAGCTGGTGTGAAGGTACGTTCAAAGGTTTTAAAATGTTTCTTCACAACACTTTCACTTGAAAACAGTAATTGATCCATAATTCTCATTAAGGGAAATGCTACGCCTGAGTGCTATATTCCGGATTAGAAGTAAACAAACTGATGTTGCATACTTTAATAGTTAGAAATAAAAGTTGTTATAAGAAAATCTTCTGGTTTTGGACTCCTTGTAGTGTGCAATGCAAGTGCATTGCCCCTTACATTTATTTGAGTTTACAGAGATTTGTTTTAGCTATAAAATAAATCTGAATAAAAAACAAACAAGCAATATAGGCGCTAAAAATAGACACTTCTTTTTGCACTATTTTAATGCACTAAGTTGCACTTTAAATTTTTAAAGGTACAGCGCACCTTTCTATTTTATATAAAATAAATCTGAACTATTCTTCAGGGGGTCAAGGTAGGACACTCCTGATTTTTTTTTTCTCTTAAATGAAAAGTTTATGTCCCTATATCTTATAATTACAGTATTGTTTTGTTGAGAGTATTTTTCTAAATGATCAGCCTTTTAAACCTAGTGCATTCAACTACTGGCTATAGATCATAGTGAGTATATCAGTATGCTTAATTGAGATGTTGGCTTATAGTCCTAGCCATGAGCATTATACTTTGCTAATACTTTTAATTCCTATATTGTTTTTTTTTTTGTTTTGTTTTTTCAGCTTCTTTACACAGGTGATTTCTCCAGGCAAGAGGACAGACATCTGATGGCTGCAGAAATCCCAAACATAAAACCGGATATTCTCATCATTGTAATTATGATTTTCTATTTTGAGATAATGCTGTTGAGATGGTGCATTCTTATACAGTATGCCACGAGATCATAATGGTCCTATTGGGGTCTTCCACAGGGGTGAGGGGTGTATGCTGGGAAATGGAAGACTATGTTGGTCATTGGTAATGTAGAAGGGGACACAGAGACCATGTGTTAGAATGTCTTGTTTCCTGCACACTATATATCTTATGTTTGTTCCTGTGTAGGAATCCACTTATGGCACTCACATCCATGAGAAGCGAGAAGAGAGGGAGGCACGTTTCTGTAACACGGTGCATGACATTGTGAATAGAGGAGGCAGAGCACTAATCCCTGTGTTTGCTCTGGGGCGAGCGCAGGAGCTCCTCTTGATTTTGGGTGAGTTTTGGTTTTTTTCCCTCTCTTTTGTGCACACCTTATATTTGTGATTCAGCATTTACAATGCAAAGATAAGGTTAATGTGTTTAAGTAGCTTGAATGTGAATTAAGTGATTTTCACATATCATGTGTTTATCATGTAAGATTCCTGTGTTCAACATTTAATGTCTTATGTCATTTATCATCCAGATGAGTACTGGCAGAACCATCCAGAACTGCATGACATCCCCATATATTATGCCTCGTCCCTGGCCAAAAAGTGCATGGCTGTGTACCAAACCTATGTGAACGCCATGAATGACAAGATACGCAAGCAAATAAACATCAACAACCCATTCGTCTTTAAACATATCAGCAACCTTAAGGTTAGTGTGGTAAAGGTTTTTTTTTTGGCCTTGTGTTTTGTAGTTTGCATAATGAATGTAAATGTTTCCTTATTTTAGATTGCACAACATTTTACACCTTGTGACAGGGGTACCCAAAAAATTAATCCCCAGATGTTTTAAAAGTACAGCTTACATGATGCTTTATCTTTGTAAAGGCATGCAAAGCATCATGGGAGCTGTTGTTCTACAACATACGGGTATCTACCATTTAGGCTCCCCTGCATTATGGTGTTTATTGCAAACTGAATATTCTACAGCAATGTCCAGTGGGCAAACAGGACAGGTTTCACTTCAATGTAAAGAAGTAAGAGGTGGTGAGGGCACTTCTCTAAATAACTTAGCTTTTAAAAGGTTTAAATTGATGCTTGGCCAACGAGCTTACATTGATTGGACAGCAAATATGAACATTAAAAGAGTTATTATTGATAGAGCAGGATAAATGTATTTTGAAGATGAAAAAAAATGTTAAAACACATTCTTCTAATTTGTTAATGGGACTTTTGTGCTCAGTAAGTGTGGGATTAGATTTTTATTTTTGTTCCCTCCTGGGGAGATAATTAGTTGTGCTCCTTCAGCCAACAGTAATTCGATTGTAATCTCCACAGGCAGTATATTGGTGTACACATAACTGTGTGTACATATAATATACAATCTCACACTCATTATACATCTGTGTGCGATAAGTTCGCCCTTAGCACTGGAGATGTTTTTTCCCATGATTTGTTTCGGCAAATTACTTGCAGTAGTTGTAGTCTGTCTCGAACTGTGCAGGCCCACAATTGGGTACATCTGATCTCTTTTTTTAATGCTATTATACCTGTTATGTAAAGGGCATCCTGTATAATATTTACTGCGACCTGATACAGATGTTTCAGTTCATGTGTAATGTTTCATTCCTAGAGCATGGATCATTTTGATGACATTGGCCCGAGCGTGGTAATGGCCTCTCCTGGTATGATGCAGAGCGGTCTGTCACGGGAGCTGTTTGAGAGCTGGTGCACAGACAAGAGGAATGGAGTGATTATAGCTGGTTACTGTGTGGAAGGGACACTTGCCAAAGTGAGTATGCCTAACTGAGCAGCATTAAACCATCAAATGGATGGGAGAGAAGACCTCAGTGGTGGATGTAAGCAAGAACATTAATAACAAACTCTTACTTTTTGTATCTTCTCTATATAGATGCAACTAGGACAACTGACTTTTTATTAAGGTTAAATAAAACTAACAATGAATTAGTTACTGGGTTGGGGAGGGGAGGGTAGTAAATAATGGGGGAACTCCACTACTACACAGTTATAGTTGGAAATCAGATGAATCGGGACACATAATTTAATGATTTTGTGTTGCATTATTGAAGGAGCAGTGGGCGAGCGGTCTCTCTGTGAAAGTGCTGTAGGATCCAAGCTCACAGAACGAGACAAGCCATTAAATTGTTCATAGGGACGAGATTACTTCAGTTAACCAATTGGGGAGAGTGTCATTTGCCATCTGTGTAGCGGGATTCCAGTTTTACAGTATTTGAATTAAAATTTCTTTCCACAGCACATTATGTCAGAACCTGAGGAAATTACCACCATGTCTGGTCAGAAACTAGGACTCAAGATGTCTGTAGATTATATCTCCTTCTCCGCCCATACGGATTACCAGCAAACTAGCGAGTTTATCCGGGCACTGAAACCTCCGCACGTGGTGAGCGCATGTTGGTACCTCCCAGTGTAGTGTTATATCATTCAGTATTTGTCTGCTCTTCTTATACAGTAGACCTGCCGTGTATGAATGCATGGGTGGTGAGGTCTCCTTCAGGCAAGTTCTAGAACACATGTTTTAGTGTTGTACCGCATTTTATTTCATATTTGTCTTTTTCTACATACCAATGAAAATGCAAGTAAATCGGGAAGAGGTTATCTGTTCCTTTCTCTGGGGCTGGTAATGATATTTTATTATCTTTGCAGATTCTGGTGCATGGTGAGCAAAATGAAATGGCTCGTCTCAAAGCTGCTCTGATCCGAGAATATGAAGACAATGAGGAAGTGGACATTGAGGTGCACAACCCAAGGAACACAGAAGCTGTCACATTGAACTTCAGAGGAGAGAAATTAGCTAAGGTAATATTTGGTTTTAAAATACTTGGAGATTCACTGCATTAAGTATTTCTGATCTTGGGTAATTTAGCATTCTCTGAAGAACAAACGTTTGTTGACAGCTTGACTGCAATCTATGTGGGACCTCATTGTAGTAGTCCCCTTACTCTTTTCATCTCAGAGAGTTTGAGCTTCTGTGCTGAACCGATCAATCGTCCAGACCCTGCTGAAATCCTCCATGAAGTTAAACAAGGCAGTAAATCTGGAATATGTTTACATTCAAAACTTAGCTTCTCCTCAAGCCTGGGCCCACTTGTACTACTTTAACCCATGTTCACTTGACATGATAGAATGGATGGTCACCTTGTTTTTGTAACATATTGTCATGGTAAATAAGATTAATATTTACTTCTTGGGGAATGTGCTTTGGCCTTTAGTGTCAGACATTACTTTCAAGACCGTTGCTAATTGTCTTAACAGGAAACAGTTTGCTGTAGGCAGTTTAATAAATTGGATGTGTTTGTTCAGCCTTTAGAAAACTACTCAATATGCATTAGGAACTTTTAAGAACCACTTCCCTAGACCAAGGGTAGCCAAGTGTTAGACCCACCTATTTTTCCCCACCACTCTCCAAATAGACTCAAGGCAAGAAATGCCCTATAAGGCTTGTAGTTCCACAAATACTGGAGATGTATGTTTGGCATCCTCTGCCCATTGTTTGTGTTTGAAGAAGCAATTGAAAGGGGGCACAGGGCCAATGCATAACAAGTCGACCATTGCAATGTTACTGTGCGTAAATCAATTAAAGACCGTGTTTTGTACCAAGGGCTGGACAAAGCTTAGCCATTCATACCATTATAGAAGTTGCTCTTTTCAGACTGATCCTGTTTTGTAGACTTTTCCAATCATGAATATTTATATATCTCTTCTACCTGCCAGGTAATGGGTTCTCTAGCAGACAAGAAGCCAGAACAAAGTCAGAGAATTTCAGGGATTCTTGTGAAAAGAAACTTCAATTATCATATTCTATCCCCAAGTGACCTCTCCAGTAAGTGAAGCGCATTTGCTTCTGTATTTGTGTTATAAGTGTTTTTTGTTTTTTTTAGATACAGGTGATTGCCTTTGAATAGAAATATTAAGTGGAAAATAATTATTGTTGTCTCTTGTTGGTGTATTGGTTGTCTGTTTATCATTGGGTTTGAACAGATATTAAGGTGACAACACAGTGTTTTTACAGAGATTGAATTGTCCTGGAACATGTAATCCAGTCCGTACAATAATTGTTTGACTCTCCTCCTTTGGACTTCTTTCTAGTGAACCCTCCCCCTTTCATGTGTCATAATAAATAATCTCCACTTGCTCTCTATATATAATATATTATTGTCTTTGGAGTGTTTTGATATCTAAATCATACTAAAGAGGGATTCATCAAAGGTAAATTGGAGCTTTTCTGGGTGCAAACTGCTAATTCTGAGGCACAGTGCCACACAACATGCAATAGTCATGGAAATGAATAGTATTATTCGCAACATTAAGCATAGTCTTTCCATAAAGCATTAGACTGGTTTTAATATTAAATGAGAGTCCTCAGCAGGTCATCCCCTCTGTGCTGCTTGGGCTAATGAGAAAGCATTAACCCGAGCAACATTGGGTGGCTGTGATTGGTCTCTACAGACTGTTTAAACATTGAATGAAGGGAACCGTGCCAGAGGTGAAATCGGTATAGTGCCTGCAGTATCCTTAAATACTTTTATTTGGGTGTTATGTGTCAGTGGGTACATGCTTGGCTTGACCAGAAGTCTCTACGTTTAAAAGACATTGCCAGGACTATGGGTATTTCTTTGGGCATAGGGCGGCAGTAAATTATTGACCATCTATGGCAACATAAGAAAATGCCTCTTTATGGGCAGTTATCTATAAGAAGAATATTGAGTAAGTTATCCTGTTACTTTATCAGAGATTCTTCAATGATACGCACTAATATACTTGATAATGGGTATAATTGCTATTTATGGAGAGTTTACTCCAACACATGGCTTGATACACTAAAATTGTTCCTTTTGTGCTTTCTACATAAGTGCATTTTTATAATATTTTACAGAGCTAGTGTGTACAGTACATGGTGAAAGCCATATTTCAACTCCAGGTTGTTGTCTCTGTGTATGTTGCATGCCTTCTAGAAGCCACTAAACCTATATATTTTTTTAAAATGTATTTATTTTTTTGCTCTCCATCTGTAGGTTACACTGATTTAGCCATGAGCACAGTTACACAGACACAAGCCATCCCATATACAGGTCCTTTTGCCCTGCTGAGCTACCAGCTACAGCAAATTACAGGTGAGTTGTTAGTTCTGGTGCCCTACAGCAATGATTTGCATTCTCCTCTGTAACTATAAAGTTCAGTCTGGAAAGCTATCACTGACCAGCAAAAATATGTCATATGCATTGCTCATCGGTGTGTTTACTTTCAGGAGAGGTGGAAGAACTTGAAATCAATGAAAAGGATGCCCTGCGTATATTCAAGGCTATTACTGTGATAAAGGAGCAAGGCATGGTTCTGTTGGAGGTGATTTCTTTTTATAATTTTTCTTGAAAACTACTTATTTTTGTTATTAGAAACCACTTACAGCATACAAACATCTGTTGTATTTTCCCTCTTGTGTAATATATATCCCGATTCTTTACTGAAAATCACCGTGATCTGTAAGTTCATCCTCTAAACGTATTCTATGTCTTGATCCTCTGTGCTATCTTATGGCAACCAAGGGGATGCATACATTTTAAAAATAACCTTTTTATTTTTCTGTTTTTAAATATTCATATCTAGCTTAGTCTTTGTTGGCTTATGTTCTGTTACTTTACAACCTACTTACCCCTGCTTTGTATCTCCTCAGTGGGTAGCAAATCCTACCAACGATATGTTTGCAGACACTGTAGTGACTGTGATCCTGGAACTCCAATCAAATCCTAAAATACAAAAAGGTACAGTCCCCTGCCGGTGTATTCCTGCAGCTTGTTCCCTCTCCATTGTATATTGTCCTGAGACCTATAAAAGTTATTAGCATGACTAATCAATACTGCATTTATCTAACACTACTCAGTCTTTAGAAATCTTACAAACTCCCGGTTTATCTTTACCTGTCCTATCATTTGCTACCTACCATCCAGCCATACTACTAACCCAAAAAATGGGTGTTAAGTAGGTGTGAACTTTGAGTCTGTTAGCCTGATTCCCTTGTTAATAAAGTCATAAGGACGTAAAAATAAATAAAATAATTGGTCGAAAAAAATTTAAATAACTTCGCATAATACAAGTAAACAAAATAAAAAAATGTGGGTATCACAATGTCTTCCCACCTGAAAACGAATTTTCCAAGATTTGAATTTCAGATTTGTAGACCAAAATAGCCCAATTGAAAATGTATCGGACATAGAAAATGTTTCCAGTTGTGCTCCTTTTGCCTAAAATGTTCCATTTTACTTGGTTTTTGAAATGTATCACTTTAGTGAGTGACCTTGTTAGTTTATTTAAAGCAGAACTAATAATATTCCGTCCACTACCAACTGCAAGGTTCCTGACACCCTCACTGGCTAAGTTACTAAGTAGGCCTTATTAGAAGATAAACAAGGCTTAGTTTCTGTTCTCCGATGCATTCTGTTTACTGTTTCTTATTGGTAATCTGAATGTGACTGTATTTCTCATCTTCTCAGCTGCAACTTCAACTCACAAACTCCCCAAGCAAGTGGATATGGATACGTATAGTAAGAGGCTGGAGATCATGCTACAGTAAGTAGCCCGATGGGATTTAGAAAGCGTGATCAGAATCCACTGATATCCTTTACCTTACGGGTCATTGCTGTTTTTGTTTTCAGGGATATTTTTGGTGAAGACTGTATAAGTGCAAAGGATGGTAATTCTATCACCGTCTCTGTAGATGGGAAAACTGCTAACCTGTCTCTGGAAACACGGGTATGTCGACTTCTATCATGTATGTGTGCCAGAGAGCATGTTTATCCAGTGCAATGTTTGAAAATGACAACATAGACTGTAATTGTGGGGGTGGAATCATACATAAATAATCCAGGGGTGACCAAAAGGTAGAGCCTCAGCTGATGTAGGTATAGGTTTTGCCATGTCTGACTAGTTCATATGGTGAAATGAGTGATAAGCTGTTAAATGAGGGCCACAGGTCATCCTGTCTTTTTAACTGACCTAATTACACAGCCGGCACTGGACAGAACGGCTAATCAGCCAATATTCACTATTAACAAATAGTGTTAGATGTTCTCTACTGGTGCCCTGCTGCTGTGTGGTTTAGACATGTGGCTGTACTATGGGATATGCTAAATACTGTGCTTTTTTTATTCTCCAGGTTGTGGAGTGTGAGGAAGGAATCGATGAAGATGAGACTCTGCGGGAACTGGTTCAGTCATCGGCACAGCGACTGTATGATTCTCTCTGTCCGGCAAACTTGTAAAATACTAATCTTCACAATGTCTCTATTGGATTCGGGTTTTTTTTGTTTTTTATCATCTTTTTGTTTGTGTTTTTTTTCTTTATTTCTATACAGATTGTCCCATTGTACTTTCATAATGTCAGAATTTTAGGATTAAAAATAATTTATCATTAAAATTACCTTTTCTTTTGGTAAGATTGTTTCTTTCCTCTTCAAAGTATTAAATATTAGGAAATAAGCATTATGAAATATGCATAGTTAACACAACACATACACGCAATATATAAATGTGTATAATAAAATAAAATGTAGAACTCTACAACTGGGGTCCTACCACTAGGTGCTTCCCTTTTAGCTCCCTGTCAATCATTGTTATAAGCCCTGTCCTTGTCAGTCAGCACAGAGAAAGCTTACAGAGCCATTTCCTTTCTCTTCATTAGGTATGCGTACTCTAGCTGTGCCTAGACTGAGCTGGATTTTCATGTCATTTGCTAAATCTTTAATATACTTTTAAAAGAAAACCTATCTCGTGAAGAAACAAAAAAAAAAAAAAGTTCAGACAAGATAAAGGTGATTTTTAATTTTTTCCCCATTGGTGTAATTTCTAGAGAAGTGATGGGTTTCCCGTCAGTATCGGCATTTGATAGTATAGTCTGGTGGCACCTATAAAGTTAAACACATAAAAGTTCTACTTGGACTGGAAACCAGTAAATGTTTGAATGCAGAGGGTTTGGAATACTAAGGTTTATTAAAACTTGTAGATCACATGTCATTGCTGCATTCGAGCAGTGACCGAGTCAACTCATTGGTTAAACAGGAACTGTTGGTAATCTCCCCTTATACTAGTTGCATGAGAACATTGGGGGAAATTATTTTAGGAAATGCCCCAGGATTCTTTATTAATATCTATAAACTGGTTATTTGCTCACTTTATCTATTTTTGTCACACCTGTCTGAAATATTGGAAGGAAAGGGATACCATGTAATCTCTGCAGAAAGGCCAAGGATTAGATTTTTCTTTCAAATAAATGAAAATTGTACATATTTGTGTAAATTCAAATCTTATTTTTGTAAGCTGTATCAGTACTGTAATGTTTACATGAATTTTGTGGGTTTTATTTTATGTCTGTTTTAGCTGTGCATCCTTCTCATATTTCAAATAAATTTTTAAGGTTTTTATTTTAAGACTTAATTGAATCAAAATGAACTTGGTTGCAAAAGGGAATTAAACATGTCTCAAGTGTTAGTTAACAAGTTCCGGTACTATGCGTGTGCTTCCCAGTCCCAGGCAGTATATTCTTTTTAAGACCGCAATATGCAAATATATGCTTCCTAGTGGGTAGGGGGGGCTGATTTACATCCGAGTTGTGATAATTATAATGCATTACTATGTCTCTAACATAGTAGGTGTGAGTAAATGCAAACACTGTACCTTTATAATCTTTTACTGTAAGTTTGTGTGCATGCAGGGATCTTTTATTTCATTTGACATAATCAGCCCTTTAATTGTTGTTGTGCATTAACTTGTCTGTCCCCAAGTTAAAAGGGTTAACCAGATGTGGACCCCGTGCTAACTGTGCCTAGCAGGATCTCTACTACACCCCACCAAAGAAGGACAGAACGATCATCTGGGGTTGCTGTATCTCTTGTGCAGAGAGAACTTGCTGGCATTTCAGGTCTGGACTGCCTTTGTGGGTGGGATCAGTCTAATATGCTTCAGAATATGTTCTCTCTGTAATGGCACAAGTGAGAAAAAACAATTTTGAGACCTGAGCGGGTATTTCCCAAAGGGCAAGCAGGATTGAGTTTCTCTAAGCTTTTGACTGTTCTCATATTCTCCGTTTTCTTTTAATAACACTCCACATATTACAGCTGCTATTTTGCTTTAGAGCTTTTCATACAGAGTGTTTGTGAAAATTCCTCTTTGACTGTACTTGAAATTGCAGTCCAATCTAAAGATAACACGAGACAAAGTAAGGACTACCTTCTCTTAACTTCATGTAACTGCCAATCTTTTGCAAAAGGAGATGTTTCCACTGCCATTTCCAAACACCCCTTCGTCATGATCAGTGACATGGAGAGGTATCCTAATTCACAATGCGCAATACATGCTTTTTGCTCCTTATTACACATGTCCTACTGGATCCTCCAACACTCTGTTTAGTAGTAATGACCGTTTCTGAAATATGAAGTCGTCAGTAGCCAAAGAAGTATGGCATGCAGCCACAACGAGGAGTACAGCTTTAGGTACTTGTATCTCCCTAATTGTAGCCACCTCTGCCCTACCAAACATGTCAGCTTGGGTAATATCATCTTGAGTAGGAACATAATTTCTTATTAACACGGTGAAACTAATTTAAAACCAGTTAGATAAAACTCTGGGTCTCATCAAGCAGGAATAGTCTAAGACTTATCTAAAAAACAAGGTTTTACATAAGAAATGCTAAAATAATTTACATGGAAACATAGAATGTGATGGCAGATAACCATTCGGCACATCTAGTCGGCCCAATTTTTTAAAATACTTTTATTAGTCCCTAGCCTTATCTTATAGTTAGGATAGCCTTATGCCTATCCCACGCATGCTTAAACTCTTTTACTGTGTTAACCTCTACCACTTCAACTGGAAGGCTATTCCATGCATCCACTACCCTGTCAGTAAAGTAATACTTCCTGATATTATTTTTAAACCTTTGCCCCTCTAATTTAAGACTTTGTCCTCTTGTGGTAGTTTTTCTTCTTTTAAATATAGTCTCTTCCTTTACTGTGTTGGTTCCCTTAATGTATTTTAATGTTTCTCAAATTTAGTGTTTATTGGTTTTACAAGGTAAAAAGGGATACAGAAGAGAAAGGGGGTGGCAATGATTATTCACATTACACATCAATGTTATAATAATGAAAAAAAAGGAACACTGAGATGTTTTGGTTTTGGGGTACATCGTATCATTTTTAAGTATCTTGACATGTTGCAAAACATATTTGTTTTATCAGTCACATGCAGTGCCATAAATTACCGTTATTTGGTGAATGTTAGCCGTCTTGCGTCAGTAGTTTTCAAGTCAACGTCTTGAATTGGTCTATTTCCCCTCTCGTACTATTACTTAGGTAACTGCATAGAATATGTCTACTGTTTCGTAGTCTTTAATTGAAACATTTGTTCATGAATAAATTGGCTATATGCCAGGCCATTTCAACTAGTAGTTGACAGATGTATACATCTCGGTAGTGCAACTTGTGACCCCTATAAACATTTTGGAACAATTTGCCGTGTAGGCGCTAGAACTTGGGATAATCAAGACTAGGTATGTTAGGGGTTAATGAGTGTGTACCCTGGGGTAGGTGGGAGTGTGAGGCTTATACTTAGATGATGTGCGCAATCATGTACCCTGAGGAAGGAGTTACGGACCTCTAGGGCTGTGGTCTATGCATTCAGTGGTCTTAGTGATTCTTTCCATACTCCCGTCCCCATGCCTGCCATGTGGCATCAAATTTTAAGTTGGATTGTGCTGAAGTAAGTGATAATTTTTCATAAATGTAAAATTGATTCAATTTATCAAGTACTTGGGTCAGGGAGGGGCATTTACAGGATTTCCACTTTTGTGCCAGGAGACTCCTTGCTGCCTTCAGCACCAATGCCATAATCTGCTTTTCGCTCAAGTTTAAATGCGTAGGCAGCAGTAACAGTAGGCATACCGTGGGGGTTAAAGGAAAATTGGGGATATCCAGCCTGTCTAAGATGTCACGCGCTAGGATCCAAAGGGGCTGAATGACCTCACAGGACCACCATATGTGCCCATTGCTTTTCCACATCTCCAGCAGGTGGGTGACGTGTTAGGGAATATACCAGCGGTACATCAGTTTCTTATGGGCTTCAATGTGTGAGAAGCAGCGGATCCATTTAGAAAGCCTGTTCAATCCTCGTCTGTCAGTGTCCTGTCACAGTCTGCTTCCCACTGGGCCTTATACTGCTGGGGCGCGATAGGGGTGATCTCGTGCCATGTTTTGTAGCACAGTGCTAACGTCTTTAATTTGGTCGGTATAGACCAGCATCTATCTAGGAGTTGTTAAGAAGCAACCCATTTTGGCAGGGGTGGGCAGTGCGTATGTTGTAATGATACTCTTTAGTCGTAGGTAGGAGAAAATGGCTCGGTTCGGTATGTGACAGTGGGTTTGAAGCTCTGGGAAAGGGATTATCTCATTGTCCCTCATCAGAAGGGATATGTGGGTGATCCCTGCCGTGAGCCAGTCTGTTAGCGGGATGTCTTGTGACACAGCTTTAAGAGCCGATAGGGGTGCTCTTGAGTGGAATGCCTCTTTATGGCCCATGGTAAGGAAGAACTTGTCCCAGATCTCTATCGTTTGTAAGGTGGTTGGGAAGAGGGTGGGCCTTTGTTTCCTAAACCATCTTGGTGTCCACAGGTAGTCTATAAGTGGTTGGTCTGGACACTGTGCTTTTTCAATATCTGTCCACTGTATAATGTTTGGCTGGGCATGCAAGAGGATCCCTGTTGCTAGTGCTGCTGCTCTGTAATATTGCCAGATATTCGGCAGACCCACACCTCCGAGCTTGGATGCGGTTTGTAGTGTCGCTAATGATACTCTAGGTTTTTTACCTGCCCAAATGAATGAGCTGCACATTTTCTGTAGGGCTTTACAATGTTGTTTGGGAAGTTTTAAGGGTAGCATTCTAAATATATAAAGAATGCGGGGGAGAATCATCATTTTAAAGGCGTTTATTTTCTCCATCCATGAGATCATGACGTGTTTCCATTTGTTTAACTCTATTTTACACATCGAAACAAGGGAGTTATACTTGAGTTTTACTGTTGCAGGTATTGTAGAGGCTATTTTTACTTCTAGGTATGTGATAGAAGTTGATCTCCAATCAAAAGGGAATGAGTTGCGTAGAGAGTCCACTGTTCGTTTAGGTAAGCCCATAGGTAGTGCTTGGGTTTTGTCTCTGTTTAGTCGATAGTGGGAGATTTCTCCGAATTGTTGCAAAGGTTTCTGTAAATTGGGTA